GTGGTTTTCCAATTCCTTCCGTCGTTTTTTTTTTTTTAAAAATTTTTTCCAAAAAATTTTTTTTTTTTTTTTTTTTGGTTGAAATTACTGGTCTGCACAGATATTTTTTATTATTTGTAATTAAAATTCATATCGGATAATAAATAAAAATTAGTTAAAATATACAAAGAAAGAAAGAGAAAAAGAAATTGACTGTGTAAATCCAGATAAAGAAGCAGATGAAAAAAACTATGATTAAAAACCACCAAAGGTGGAAAGGAAAATTAGTGATTTCGATTGAAAAAAATCAATGATGTTTGTGTGTTTAGATTTGTTTGGTTGATGCTGAAGTGTTAATTATTGAGTATTTCCGAATTAGTTAATTTTTTTTTAACACGTTCGCTACCATATATCTTGCCGTCCATTTGCTGTAGTTCAATGTGTTTTTCCAAAGCGCCGATAACCGAACATGTTAAGAATGATCCTGATGATTATGATGTGAATGATGATGATGATGATGGTGGTGATGGTTATGATGTTGTTGTTGATGGTGATCATTACTAGTTGATGATGATGATGGTAAGGCTGTATCTTCATAATTTTCATTATTAAGATCTTGATAAAAATATTGATTTTCACGATTAGTTCCTGTGCTTAAAGTGCCACCACCAGCGCCAGCGCCACCACCATTATCTAATTGTTTAAAATTTTTACGCATTCTACCGGAAAATAATCTTGCAATTTGTGTAAATTTTTTCTTTGATAATTTTCCCATATTACGTAATCGTTCTTTGAATATAGCATCGGAATCAAGAAAATTACTTGCTTGTGTTTGATCATTAACACCACCAACACCGGTTGTATTGCTACTTGGGATACTTTTTTTTGGGGGGGGAAAATAATTTTTTGGTTAGAAATTAGTTTTTTAAAGTGTTAAAAAAAGGTATTTACCTTGATCCACTATAATGGCCACCACTACTACTATTATTATCAGCATCTAATGTTGACATAAAATCTTGATTCATTCGTAATTCACGAACAAATTCTTCATTTTGTAATAATATAGCAAAACGTTCATCTTCTAAATATTGTGCCATTTCAGGATCATCATTCATTGATGTTATTTGTCGATTACGTTTATTTTGTTCCATTTTCTGAAATTTT